ACCTTCAAGGGAGGACCTTTTGTGCCCAAACAGTCAAGGTGCCTTTCTGTCCCATCCTTAAGCCTTTCAGCTTGGATCCACATTTGGATGGGAACCTTCAAGGGAGGACCTTTTGTGCCCAAACAGTCAAGGTGCCTTTCTGTCCCATCCTTAAGCCTTTCAGCTTGGATCCACATTTGGATGGGAACCTTCAAGGGAGGACCTTTTGTGCCCAAACAGTCAAGGTGCCTTTCTGTCCCATCCTTAAGCCTTTCAGCTTGGATCCACATTTGGATGGGAGCTATGAAGTCTAGTGCCAGGTTGGAGAAAGCCAGTCTATTCTAAATGCTACTTGTTGGAGGGGAGGCCAGGTTGGAGTTTCCTATGTGCCCAGCACAGAAGATAGTTGGTGCCACACCATGCCCTCTCCTCTTGTCCTGCCAGGGTTTGGTTCCTTGCCCTGCCTCGTGAATGCCTGCTCCAGCAACATGAAATCGATCTCTTGCATCAACCTCTCAGTTTCAGACTCCTGTGCCCCACCTCAGCGCCATAGGCCGAGGGTCCTGCTGAAGGCACCCACACTGGCAGAGATGGAGGAGATGTTTGTTTCGGAAGTAAGAGCTTGGCTTTGTCTCCTGGTTTTTGTGCAAGAAGAGCTCCTTGGCCTGCTGGAACTGGCACCAGGCTGTGAGCGGACTTTGCAGTCCAGTCGTTCTGTTGACCACCTCCTCTTCTCCTTCCTTTGCCCCAAACCCACTGCTCTGGCAACTTCTGCTGCCACTGAGACTATTGGCACCATGCTCCCAAACGTCTCTTAGCTGTGCATGCATGCCCTGGTTCCAGAGTTCCTCCTCTTTGAGGACAGAGATGCCATTCTGGTATGAGTTCGGGAGCTATGCTTGTGGGCGTGAGCACTTGCATTTTTGCAACATGCTGAGCTGTTCCCTTTCCTGCAGGAGGAAGACTCTCCCTGCTCAGAGGCTGTTCAGGAGCCTGGCCCCCTGATGCCCCTGAAGCGGGACCGCTCCTTCTCAGAGCAAGACTTGGTCCATTTTCGGAGTGAAAGTGAGAGCAGGGAGCCTCACCTGGAGTACTTAAGACCCAGCATGTCAGACCCGAGACCTCGCTCAGGTACCATGAACTCTGCATGGACCAGCATGGAAGATATGGGCAAGTGAACCTTTTTCATGACCTAACCCCACTCTGGGACACAATTCTAGGCTTGCTCCACTGCTTGCTTCTCCTCTCTGAGGGCCCCTCCTTGCCTCCTTTCCCACCAGAGAAGGTGGGGGGCACCAGCTTACTAGTTCTGCCTGGGTTTGAATGAGCTCCTCTCCTTCCCATGGTAGCTGGGAGAGCACCAAGTGCTGGAGTTGTTTTTCGTTTGTGAATGTTTGCGGGCTGTGGCCCGTTTATTCTCTGAGGTTGCCTCCTGCTTCAGCTACGCACACAAGCTACCTCTTATCTTCATGGCAACAGGCAAGAGGGCCTGTTGTCCCACTCCTAGGTGGATGCTGACACTTGCCGGTTTCCATTCTGTTCTCCTTCAGGTTCTGTTCCAGCTAGCTACCACCAAGTCCCCTATCGGGTCAGTTCATGTCCTCGTAAACAAGACATCCTCACTTCTGTGGAGGAGAATATGGAGGCTGGGTCTGTTCCGGTCACAGATGCTAGTTTGAAATACTTGTGGCTGGTAAGCATCTTAAGTGATGTGGTTTCCTCCACACAAGATTTTCAGCACAACCTCTGACATGTGAGGCTGGTTGGGCCACCCCCACTCCTAGTCCTTGTCCCAGGAATGTGGCTCAAAGTGAAATGAGTCAAGGAACAGTAACCTGGAAGAACTTTAATAGGGAGTGTTCTTGGGGGGCTTCCCAGAGGCTGGGTTTTAGGCATCCTGTGCTACCCACAAGCAATGTCTCCAACCCCACCATCTTTCTGGAGTTAGAATCCGAGCATGCAGAATGTTTGAAGCATCTTCCTTTGTGTAACTGACATTTTGCTATTTTGGGCCAATTCCATGTGGATCTATAGGTTTTGCTTTTTCCAAATGGGAGACAGCCTTTCTCTGTATCTCACTGGATGGACTATTTTCAGCTTCATTTGGCTGTTGAAATGTGCCAGGCTGAGGAAGGGCGATGTAACGGCTGACACTCCTGCTGGAGCCCTGGTTGCAGGGCCCGGGTGGTTCTCAAAGTAAAAGCGAGAGTGCGCACTTGGGCAGCAGGACTGAGCAGCCTCTCTGCCTGGGATGCGGAGAGGTCTGAGCGGCTGGACGTCACAGGGAGAGCAGCCCTGATTCCCATGTTCTGACCTCGACAGCAGGAGTTCAGCCACCCGGTAGAAAGCCTGGCGCTCACTGTGGAGGAAATGATTAATGTGCGCCGGGTGCTGGTGAAAGCAGAGATGGAGAAGTTTCTTCAGAGCAAGGAGCTGTACACCAGCCTGAAGAAAGGGAAGGTCAGGCTGGAACGACCCCTGGGGCCTGCAGGGAGGGGAGGGTTCACCCCGAATGAGATGCTGACCGTCTCTCCCTCTGCTACTCAGAGTTGCTGCTGCTGCAGAACCAAGTTTACGCTGTTTTCCTGGCCCCCCACCTGCCTCTTCTGCAAGAGGTGAGTTAGCAGGTGCCTGGCTGGGAAGGGCAGTGGGATGAACAGGGCTCTTGACGGAGTCTTCTCTTTTCCCCCTTTGCTTTTAGGTCTGTCTGCAGCTCCTGCAGTCTGAAGGTAAGGGGCTTCTCCTGATAGCCAAGCACAAAATCCAGTGGCTGCCCTCTGGAAGGCCTCTGGGGACTTTCTTAGGGTGAGCCGGGTGGAGCCGCCCTGCTTTCCGCTCCACTGAAATCCTTTTTCTTGGCCTTTCTAGATCAAGATGCCCTCCAAGAAGCTTGCCCATATCCCGGTCTATGCCCTGGGCTTTGAGACCCTGCATGGCTCACTGGGTGCCAAGGGTCCCCCAGCCCGCCGGCAGGAGGCTTTCCAGTATGTGGCTCTTCTTTTCCTTCTTCACGCCCTGTTTCCTCCTCAGCTGTTTGGGATGTATAGATGCTCGTTCAATGGCAAGCAGTAAGGAGTACAGTGAGTGAGTCCCTGAGGCTGATGATGACAGACAGATACATTTTCTGCTCCACTCGTCTTGGGCAGCTGTCTCCAACTCCATTTCCAGACATGTTGAGACTCCAGCCACCAGCATTTCAAACCAGCCAAATCAGCTGAAGGGGAATTTTGGGGGCTGCAGTCCCAACACATCCGGAGGGTACAGGGGTTAGGGAAGGCGTCAACTCCTCTGCTGCCGATGGCGTGAACCAGAGCCAAACAGGTTTGCAAACTGCAGTAGTTGCTTGCCCAAATATACTAAGGTACAAGCCAGCAATTGCTTCAATATGACATCAGCAAAAGGACTGCCAACACCTCCTTTTCATTCATGGATAGGAGGTTTTTGGTTGAGAAATGGAAGGAATGCAAAGCCCGCGAAAGACCCCCAGTTGATGGGACCAGCTCATGGAACCCCTTCAAGTTGCTGAAGGATTGCAGAGGGCCAGGGAGTGTAGTTTAACAACTGTGTGATGCATGAACCTGATCTCTCTCAAGAACCAGGCCTAACACTAAGGCAGGACCTTTAAACCATGGTTTACTGAATATCACACAAAGCAAGCTATGGATCTCATTGTGTTTACCAGCGGGTTAGCCTAGGGTGCTTCCAGATTCTTGAACCAAGCATAGCCTGTCAGCTGAGGTAGCTTTACCCTGGTTAAACAGAAGGGGGCCCAGCATCAGGCATAGCTGCCCCCTGGAGCAAGGACCCTGGTCAGAGCACCCTGTTTTTGCCTTCCAGCTCCCTGCAAGGCACCCCCTGGCGCAGCGTGGAGGAAGAGTTCCCGTGCATCTATGCTCATGGTTCAGTGCTCAAGGATGTTTGCCGCGACTGCTCTGGGTTTGTCACAGACGTTGTCAGTTCCAGCCGCAAAAGCATGGACATTCTCAACACCAAGCCGGGCAGGAGCCGCAAAACCCAGTCCCTGTACATCCCCTCCAGCTAGAGGCTCCTGGAGCATCCCCCAAGCCTGCCACCACCCCCTCTCCAGCTAACGGCATCCAACCTTCACTTTGGGGGCCTCTTCGAAGGCCCAGGCAGCCGCGACTCTCTGGCAGAGCAAATGCGGCCCGGCTGCCCCTGGGCTTTGGGGGTCTGCTCTCTCCCTCCTCCCTCGTCCAACCCACCCCACCTTCCAAGAACATCTGCCTGCCTATGTACATATACATATATCCATACATAAATATATATACATATATATATACACACACACCACACACGCACACACCCCCTTATAGATACTCTATATTTATATGGCGGATAAGTTGCTTTAGCTGATCAGCATGGCAACCCCTTCATTGGCAAACGAGGACTTTGCTGAAGGCGCTGAAAGCATCCGGGCCTGGCTCTCTTCCCCCTCTGCTCCTTTGGAAGGGAGCAACGCAGGAGGCTGGCCAAGGTGATCCTGCAGCACCAGGAGCCCAGCCACACCAGCGGGCAGGGAGGCAACTTGGCAGGGCAGAGGCCAGCTTCTTCCCAGGTGCTGTTTCCCCACATGGCCTCAGGAGCAGCTCTGTAATCCTGGCCGCCTCTTGCTGAGATCTCCGAAAGAAATGTCGTCCTTTCAACCGTTAGTTTTCTTGGGAAGCAGGGCTACCTCGCAGCTATGTGCCTGGTGCTAAACGCATCTTCTGGAGCTGCTGGCCTGCTCCTTGTTTCTTTGCCCTCTTGCTTGCGGTCTTTCTCCCAGATCAAGGAACGAGGGCGTCTCCTGTGAAGGCTATGAAAAAGGGTGCTGTTTCCCTCTCGTTCTCCCTCTACAAATTCAGGAGTGTGTCTTATTTGTACCTCCAATAATAAAATGCCTAATTTTGTAAGCATTTAGATGAAGACCACCTGTTCCCAGGTGCTGGGACTTGTGGAGTAGTCTGCGTAGGGAGGGATGATTGTCGATTGCTGGCTGCATGGATGGTGCTGGGACCTTTGAATCCTGGGGGGAGGGGGGCTTGGGCTGGCCATGTCTGTCTATGAAAGAATCTTGGCTCCTGCACAAGGGGGGCCACATTCACACATTGCACTAAGCCACAATGGGGCTGCTTGTGTTGTGGCTTAGCATGTGGTGGATGCTTTACAGCTTATTTAACAAACCATCTCAAACAGTCGTGTCCTGCACGAGCCTACTGAGAGGGTCAGTTTCTGCCCCCTTTTCACAACTGACTTGAAAGGAGGAGTAGACGCCTAGAAGGTGGACCCTGTGCCCAGACCTCTCCTCCTGTGAGTGGATCCAGCTCCAGCTGGAGCCACCACTTCTGCCAGGCATCCTGGGCAAGGCTGGGC